GGCGACTATGTGGCGCACGACTTGTCTGCACTTGTCTTAGCGAGGCAGTGGAAATTCACATATTCCAAGTTTCACTAATAGCAAGCAAAATTCCTTGCTACCCCCACTGCTCCCTTTCCTACAACCTTCTAGGCTTCTAGGAGGCAATTTCCTGTCTTTGCTTTACAACTGCATCAAAGCTGTTTCTATATCGCTAAGAGGGAGCAGACAAGCAGAGCACCACCCTGTCGACTACTTTTTTCATTTACCAACATAATACACTTTTGATGTTGCCTCTCAGCTTTGGCTTTCAAAAAGTGCACCTCGTAGGACATGCGCGTCAAGCTAGCCGCGCCCGCCAGAACGCTCATGTCCCACGCGGCCAAAAAATCCAAAACGCGCGCTGTCGTCAATGGGTTAAGTAATGGAGCTTTGTTGATGAGGATTATTAGGTCATTTCTTTCATTCCCACATTCAACTTCTTCATAAACTTGATGAATGCGACACAATAAACAAAGCTACTGCTCCACTAACATCAAGTTTTTGAATACTTTAAATGAAATAAGAATTTTGTTTGATGGTGCTTTCTTAGGACCTCGCTGCAGAAGAGGGTAGTGAAGAGAAACTTCTAAAAAAGGCAATCAATCGTTGTGTGGCAGCGATTTTCAAGAACGCAAATCAACACGTTACATCTGTATGTCTTTTGTTTTTTTTTGAAGAGATTTCACCCTTTCGCGAATTATAGCAGCAGTCGCAAAGTGCAGCAAGTATTATACATGCATTAATCCAAGCCCTTCTCTTAAGTGCCTTTAGAGTGCGCTATAAGCTGTTACTTCGCTAAATGGCAAGTCGATAGACCCTCTGTATCCTCCTCCGCATGGTTTTAGCATAGGATAGGCACCTTGCCATTGCCTTTTCCCACATGGCTTGGCTCGACGTGCCTTCGGTGCAACACGGTGAGCATAGTTGAAACCCCCAGATATTTAGGAGTTTGATGCTTAGCCTACCTACCCTCATATCGTATTTGTCATGCAGATAGATGACCGTATGCTATCACTATAGAACTGGAAATTTCAGTGAAGTATAAGAATCTTTCATCCACAGAAGCACTGATGCGTATTTACAGAAGCTAGGTCAGAAAATGTTACACTTCGTCAAGACGAATCAGTTCGAAAGTTCTCTCGCCACAGATATGCTAACCTCCGTGGTGGCTTCCATGACCTACGTATGCTTTCTGTTTCAGATTCTTTAATTCCGTGATACCCAATCTTCACCCAACTTAATCCTGCCATCGAATCAGAATTTTTTCTGTAAATATTGTATTGTATAATCTCCAAAGCAGTCTATTTGGTGTGATCCATTAGCTACTGCTATTTCAGGAGCTCCCGTCAATATGGATTTCTTTTGCTGAGCATGTCCTTCGAAACTTGAAAATCGTCTTAACGCGTGAGTTATAAATACAAGTTAAGGTAGTGCTCGTCATGTACGACTTTCACCTAGAGAAACCGACCAATTTCGATGGAGTAGGGTGCCTGCCTCTAGTTTCACAAAAAATCTGCTTTCTAGGAAAGAAAATATCCCTGCTCGGAGAAATCAGCATAATAATTTTCGGTATGACTGAAGTAGGAAGATTAAAGGCACCGTTAACATGATTTTGGATAATCCAGATTACAATGAAAAACGAAAGACAAGATCGAAACTAGTGCGACTGAGGTGAAGAAACTGCGTGCACCGGTGTTTTCACAGTGAAAAAGGGCCTCGAAAAAACGTTAAAAAGGGGGCTGGACGTGAATGAAATCAGAAAAATGAAGAAGGTGGGGCGCCCGGACGAGCTAAACAGTGCGTCTCACTGCGCGCGTGTGGGTCCTGGTACGAATAACAGACAATGGTAATTCACAATTCATTCACTTATAAGCATGAATAAACAAAAAAACCTTAGTAACAGCAAAAGTAGCTCACCTTTTTCAGCCTCTAGGACTAGGAAATTAAATAAGGGATCGCGGCAGCAAAAAGAAAAACAGAGGAAAAAAGAGTGGGAGAAAAACATCGCCTCATCACTGGCGGTTAGCTGTTTGTGCGTGGGTCCTAGAACGAATAATAGCAATCCATATTGACTCGACACTCGTCTAACGTGACACCTATGGAGGGGCGGAGGGCGACCGTGGATATCTCTCCGGCCCGTTANCTGCACAAATGGCACAAATGGTACCAGAGATGGCTTCGAATTCAAACCATGTGCAAATCTCCGAAACACTTTTTCGTTAACAGTGCCTTTAAGCAAGGGTTTGGATGAGCTGTCACATGCTGGTATCATCATTGCTTACTATGTTACTTGCACATTGTTTCTTTCAACAGTTAAGGCGTTTCCGCAACCCATCCTCCTCTCGGAACTCCTGCATCTGTCGTAACGTCTGTCATGACGAGGTGCCTTTTGCTGTTCATCGGTGTTCCCGCACCAAGGCCACGCCAGAACGTGGGAATTTGAGAGCCCACACACCCCTAAGGAGACGCGTCGTGCTGAGAAGTGCTAGGCGGTCCTGCTGCGAGCTGGAAAAGGTCTGTTCCCCGACGTCAAATCGAAACGCAGACTATAAAGTGTCCACAGTGTCTCGGAAGTAATCCCGCCTGAGGACACAACGATAATAGGACCCTACCTTCATGATGTACGAGTATAACATCACAAAACTCCGATTGATGGGCAAATAGTAATGAAATACTTTGATGCAATACCATCACACCGAATATATGCATAAGTAAAACAACTACACCGTGACCAACCCGGAGTTAAGGCAAGATATGAGGAGGAGATGAGATAGATGAGAAGCGATGATGGAGGGTTACGGGTAAAGCTCACTGAGCAAAGAGAGGAGAGCATGCGACGATCCAGCAGCCAGGCCTGACAACTGCATACCATCGACTAAGTGGAGCCAGGACGTAGTGAGGTGACAAGCTTGTGGCTATGTTCCCGCGCTTGTGGCAATTTCTACTTTTCGCGGTAGGACCGAGTGCAAATGGATCTGGGGCGCGGGTTCTTCCCGACACATGCTTAAACACGAGTGGAGAGTCACGACAACGTCCGTATTACCCTTGAAGGCGAAAGTACTTAGAATAGGAATGCACAATGCAAAACTAACGTTGAGAAAAAATAGGCCAAGAAAATTCGGTGCACTGGTAGCATACATAGTTCCATGCACAAGTAACTGCAGTTGTACAATATTCGAAGAACTCGAGATTCTCGGAGGGTTTGGGGCATAGCTCTTCACTTCCATATCTCTTTCTACTCTCACATGCATGCACATGTTTTTGAGATTGAACCACACAGAGTCAGAGTATTGTATTACATATATTAGGTTGTAAGGAAAGTTCCGGCCGTTCGTCACGTCAGTTGATCACGATGTTCTGCTAAGAGTTGTCGAAGAAGATCAACGTCAACCGTTGAGAGATATTGCCAAGAAGATGAGTGTCTCCCACACAGTCGTCGCTGCCCACCTCAAGCAGCTTGGAATGGTGTAGAGCCTTGACAAGTGCGTGTACCCGAACTCACGGAGCAGCAAAGATCAAAGCGCTTAGAGATTTCAAGTTCGCTCAAATGATGTTGAGCCTTTTTTAAATCGTATTGTAACATGTGATGAGAAATGATCCTGCATGATAACAGGAAGCATTCTGCTCAACGATTAGGTGGGGATGAGCCTCCAAAAACCTTTCCCAAACCAAGTTTACACGTCAAGAAGACAATGATCACAGTTTGGTGGTCCAGCCATGGATTAATCCACTACGCGTTTCTTGCTCCAGTCCAAACCACCACCGCACATTCCTGTTGTGATCAAATTCACGAGATGTACACGAAACTAGTCAGTCACCTTGTCCACTGCTCTTGCACGACAATGCGCGACCGCATGTGTCACAAACTGTCTTCCAGAAGTCGAACGAGCTGCGCATCGAAGCTCTCCCTCATTCACCCTACTCACCAGGCCTGCCACCAGCTGGCTACAATTTATTCAAACATCTGGACAACTTCTTAAAGGAACGAATATTCAAAAATCAAGGCGACGTGGAGGCTGCCTTTCTCCAGCTTATAGGATCCCGATTTCCGGACCTCCATAAGAATGGAATAGACAGGCCTGTATCTTGTTGGCAAAACTGTGTAGAATCGAATGAGGCTTAATTTGAATTAAAATGTCCACATTGAGATGAGTTACGATTTTTTGAAAGTCAGCTGTCAAAATGGCCAGAACTTTCCTTACAACCTAATACCCTGGAACAGCGGGGAACTGAGGTTTTTTTCATGTCATGACACTCTATAACAGATGAGACGGTCAGTCGGCATCAGCTGCAAATCCTTTGGTCACTTATTTCAAACCAAAAATATTCAAGAAATCGCATAACGTATATGGAATGTTTAGCGGAAGTCAAGCAGTCTGAAGACCTGGATGTATCAGCGTCGTGGTTTGTCTCTTTGGCCTCCTCACTGTTGTCAACGACTAGCGAGGTATCGATATGACTTCTTCAACTATGTCACTTCCCTATGCGGACCTTTCAGAATTATATCCAACACAAAGGCATTTGTTTTGAAATGATTGAATTGTTGGTAAGCTGCAAGAGCAAAGTAGCATATACCGTGGGTTTACAATGTTCACTTCGGAAGGATGCTTTAACTATTTGGTCCATTGTAGAGCGGAGCACAAGGATTATGGAATAGCTTGTATATGCTTTCTCGTGTTTATCCGGAAAGCTCACGTTACATGGCGCTCAAGTTGAATAGGCCGTTGAAGGAATGGATACCGATCCGGGTAATGACCATCAGTCATCTGCATCAGCGGATTATGTAGATGCCCAAATGCAAAGCAAAACCAATGTTCAGGAATGGTCTCGTTTGTATAAGTTAGACGAGATGAAAATGGCTTGGCATATTCCTAGCGAAAAAGGAAAAGCTGTTATCGAAGAGATCTTGAAGAAATTTCTTTTCCCAATAGTGGATGAGATAATGGCTTTGCCTGTGGACAGGTTGACATCGGTTTTAAAAAAGCAATCTCGCCTCAATAACAAACAACGAATTGATTACGAACCTCTCTCTCCAGTGTAAGCAGCGAACATTCACTTTGCAGCTCAGTTAAGGATTAGCAGCCCAATATGATGTCTTTCACTATTCTTATTTTTCATCTCTGAACAATGAGTCCCTTCTTACAATCGCCTTTTACGAGACAAAATCAAAACAAAACTAGAGCTAAGGGTTGCAGCGGCACGTCGCGAATCCATAGGGGCGGAGTTGTGAACAGGTGCCCAAAGCTTTAGAGCCCTACAAAACTTAGTACTCTGCCTGAAATTACCCACATCCTTCAAAGCGCTGTCCTACAGCGTTCATGCTTTGGTTCGCTGGAATTAAACATCTTACGTTGCGATGACCAAATGTTTGTACACTGGCGATATTAATGTTTCAGAGAAAGGCTTAAGAAGGCATTTACGATAATTAACTCGATTTTCACTGGAGGTGCTATATGCTTTGCTATGCCTCCATCCCCTCTGTACCCATGCCCAAGAAGCTTGCTGCCATGGTTTAATCCCAACATTCCTAATGCAGCTGTTTACAAAATGGGTATGCACTCAATTTCGTGCGGTTTAGATGTAGAATAAAACTGAAGATTTTCAGATATACGTCATCCAAGTGGCAAGAATGTTAGAGAGATGCTTGTCGATCTCTTCGAGGAAGTTATAAATCGGGCAGAGAAGTCTCAAAGAGAACACAGCCAAGTCTTAGTAGTCATATGCTCCCTGCTTCATTATGTAATCCATGTCAATTTCATCGATTCGGTGAGTTGATCAGAAAAAAATTGAAAAGTTCCTGCTCCATCTATAATTCACTTATTCTACATACTTAAAAATGCTTTGTGGGGCTCCACGTAAGGCTTCCATGAACCTCGCCAGTTTCTATAACAACCCCGTGAAAGTTCAGGACAATCTACATCTAACTACTTAGTGGGCTTTTCACGAATTTGTCGAGGTGAGACTACTAGATGTTCACTGGAAACCTCGTAACATATTGTGAAAACTATAAATCCGTTACTGTTAAACAAAGCTGACTATGCAAGAGTTTTGGGTGATGGGATGTCCATCCAAAAACCACTGGTCTATATAAAAGAATAAGTCATGAAGACAATAGCTGAGCTTCACAAGCCTTCTGTGATCATAAATGCTTCTTCTGCGTGGTTTCTTTTGAAACTATAGCAACGCATCTCGAATGCTTCTATACTTTATGGTCCTTTTAGTATTTCAGACGAAAGTTCTCCTATTCTTCAGGCTGAATTGCTTACTGCCACAGACGAACAGAATGAAGTCTTTGGGTTTTTGAGCGACCCGATTAAGCGAGAACTTCCAGAACATGTCTATGGAGCTGCAGCATACGTCTGTCACATGGTATTTCTTATTTATAATGGTACTTATATTTTTATTTATATTTTGAGGTCACAGATGTATTAAGAATGCCAACAACTTTAGAAGCATGCTACTTCTACGTCAACGCTTTTCTCAGAATTCCATTTACGAGTAACACGGCTGCTGTTACGCCTGGCACTCAATGTTTACCCTGAAGTTCGTTACGACGGCACTTTTTTGTTTTTATCAACATTCTGAGTGAAGGTCTTTCAGGTGCGTTTTGCCGCACAGACAGAACTATTCTCTGTTTTTGCCGAGTACGATATGGCGAAAGAAGCCATAGTTGACAACGTTATTTCGGTGCTAGCCGACCAGAATTCGTCTAAAGAGAAGATTAAAGTTTGAATTTTCTATGAAAGGAAAAGGAAATTGTCACGTACTTTGACTTTGAGCTTGTGTTGTTTAGGGAGCGTTGATTGTTATTTGGAAGTCGAACTTGGCAATCGATTCGACCAAGCAGACAAGGATCAAGATCTGGCAGACTCTTCTTGAAATGAAGGTGAAATTGGCTGACCGTTCTATGTTGTTCCCAGGCTATTCTACTTGGACGCGTACTGAGCATCAACCAGTCGTTCGAATCCAGAGAAGCCCATAGTGCTCTGTGGAGTGTCTACAGATCCACTGATCATTTTTGCATCATTTTCCTAATTTTTAATCCCAATGTGAACAACGACTGGCAGTGGCATCCCAGGTTACTTTTTTACAAGGTGACCTAGTAATTACTCTCATAACAGGTTTCTATTCACCCTAGCCTCTAGCAAAATTGCACATGTACACACCCAATATCTCCAATCTGAACTTATCTTTCCGTGAAAAAAATATTTACAGTAATAATATCGAACTAGTTATGCTCAAATTAGAGACCTGCCTTGCCGTAAATATGCTTCGTTTGGACGCGTTTCCATCCTTCCGTTAGAAGTTCGCTCTCACTTGAACTGCTTTTCTACCTGTCAGAGTCTACCTGTTGAGAAGGAGAGAAAAGAAGGTAAAGATCATAATAGGGTGTACGAAAAGTTTCGAGAAAATTTGGTCGTGTTATTCAACTGCTACTGTCCAGGAGAGTCCATGATGTTTCTTGAATTTCTTCTTTCATAAAAGTGTAGGCCTGTATGCTTTTCGGTCTGTGGTGATCACAAGGGCTAAGGCTAGCGTAATATGGGGAGTGGAAATATCTAGGTGGTACGTACTCTTCCGCTTTTGTCATCCTCGCTGTGATGGTGCATTGTCTATCACAATCAAAAATTTTGCTTGTAACTGATGCTGATGCGTGAGACACCATCCGGCGCAGCTGCTGGCAGAGCACTCTTGCCATCACAACAGTACCCTCGGAATGAAGCCCATACTACCAGTACGTGATGGAATAGAAAAGATCAAGTCATGACTTTTTTGGGGTGAGTGTCTGAATGTTGTAAGGTCTCACGTCCATCGGTAACCATTGCATTTTCGTGTGTAGTTTCTCATAACATATTCTGTAAGGTGGTAAACGTCTCAAAAATGCTCCTGCCAATCAGTTTATCACGTGAAACCTTAAGTTAACAGAATGCTTTCTTTTTCCAGGCACTGGAAATACCCGCGCTTCTCGAAGTGTATGAGGAAATTTGTAATCAAATAGCGACCATGCAGATGCCCATCCAGAAGCATTACGTGAGTCTTACTGACCTAGTATGGTTTTTCAGTTTCGCAACAGTTCGAAAAGATTATTTATCTAGGAGTGCAAACAGTTGATCAATCATTGCGAAATGATGCTCAGAAAACTTCATAGGACTGGCGAATGGGCGAAATTCAATTCTGAGAAATCCTTGGAGTTAACAAGGAAGGTGCAATCGGAAAGGAGAGAGCAGAGCAAAAAGTGGAGTTCTTAACTAGTTCCTATGTCACTGGTATTGAACAAGAGGTTACAGTTATTATTATAAGAGTGATAGGTGCGGTCCTACCGCTCAGCAGACTGTGCGCGACTAAGACGAGAATAAACAATCAGTTTATTAATATGATGGAGTGTGAGTAGCAGTCCAGTCGATGTCCTTGCCTGGGAGGTGGTGAGCCCAGAAGTGACAACCGATGAAGGCCTGCAGTCCATGGAGGCGACGGGCGTGATCCTCTCGTGTGCGGCGATCAAGCTTCCTTCCCAGATGTTGCCGTTCGCGAGCTTTAAGTACGAAGCATGAGATTAGTTTGCTACCGTAACCTGATATGCTCTCTGGCCTCTCACCCCGTTAGCCTTATCCAAGCTGCAATCTCTCCACCAGGAATCAATGACGAAGAAATAATGAGGGGTCAACTACATCTTCTACTCTCTTACACTCCGATAACTCTTACGACCTCTTACACCTCCCCGCACCAAAAAAGTCCGTCCTCGGACTTATAAAAGTGAAGTTTAGTAACAATTACTTAGCTTACCTGATAAATAAGTTAGAATGTAAAGAAACCCTTTTATTCGAGTAGATCGGGTAGTGCGGATGTCGTAATAACCGCGCGTCGGTTATGAGCCCATTGGAGGATATCGTGCCAGTACGATAACCTATTAGAGACTGCTCGTGACCCAGGACGATTGGCTTGCCGGCAACGGGAAAGGGCAACACTGAGTCGATGAGGGTCGTTGAGGAACTCGCCTCGATCGGTGACAAAGCCTGTTCTGTGGTGAGCAGAATGACGATGTCCTTTTCTCGGCCTTGCACGGAATCCACTGTATGTAAGTCGATGTTGTTGCTTTGTGCAAAGCGGGGTAGGACGCGTGCTTGTTCTTCGTAGAAGACGATGATAGCGATAGAAGTTTGGATATTTTTCCGACAGAGGCTCAGAGCGATCTCGCGACAGGTCTCAGTTTCGACCGGGTTGCTGTGTGAGCTGCCAAGAGCCTTCGAGGACTTTCCTGCGACTTCAAAGAAGAGGAANGGCAGCTTAGGGTTAGGGCGCCGGACGTTTGATAAGAACATTTGGCGTTGGTCTACGCTTGTTCCATTAATAAGTGTGTGATCGTAGAAGACCAGGTTAGGTTGCTCGTTGAGTAAAGGGTGGGCGCGGAAGGTAGTCGTCAGTGGCGCCGTGAGGACTCCTTTTGCTAAGAGAATGTTCATGTTATCCTGAGCTCCGAACCGTGCCGGGTTAGTGGAGCGAGGACAGCGGACTTGTGGCTCCAGTTGATGGATATCTCTTACGTAGATGTGTTTGACTCGAGGGACGTGCGTGATCCGAGCTACTAATGCCGGTTCCAAAATTTGAGAAGATTCGTCACCGTTGATGACGGAGAACTGGTCAATCCATTTGTTAAATACTGCCTGTGGCGACGGAGTTGAGTAGAGCTGACGTGGTGATGACCAGGACTGCCGGCGGACGTACTTCAACATAATGGCAACCGTATCGCGCGTTAATTCGAATATGTCGCGTTCCGCCAAACGGTATTCATCACCTCTGCGATAGGCCGACCACTAAGTCGCGATCGAAAATGAAGCGCTCCAGAAGCTCCCGGCCTCGTTTGTACTTAAGGCATGTGGCGTGCGCTGAAGGAGCCGATCTCTGTAGTCATCAGGGAGGCGCTCAGGAATGACGTAGAGATACACGGGCGTCTGACGAGCGCCTTCCACAAGTGCCGAATCGGAAGCATCTAAGGATTTCACGGCGTTTGCGGCGTCAATGGATAAGGCTGTGTCCATGAATTGGCCTGCTGCAGTGTTGGTCGTGGTGGTGGCGATGACCAGTTGCTGGTCAGCTGTTGCGAGGTATGTGCGTATCGCGATGAGGGCTGCAATCAATTTTTTACCTGTACCAAAAGCAGTCTGGATCGCGAGGATGGGTAAGTGTCGATCGCCCATCTGCAGCACTGCGATCTGGTCAGAACGCAGTGGGAAAGAACGGCTGAAGACCGAAACGTAAACATGCTCTGGTTGAAAGGCAGCAGACCCGAGTGGAGTCACTCGCGTTCTGTAGACGGTGTCGAGGATGGTTGCAGCTAGAGAGTCGACGTCGAAACATCCGAACAACTGAAGCTGCGAAATTAGATCGCACAGCGCTCGGCTCCTCCAGACAGAGACCCTAGCTTTACACACACGCCCACAGCAATAACGTCATCGCGGACGGGGGCAACTTTGGAAGCGGTGCGAACAACGCATTTGGAACCCCAAGCTGGAACGACGAGACGCACTGCCTTGAGCGTGTCTCATAAGAGTGCTCCGACTGTTCGATGATCGTACGGATAAGCGTTTGATAGGCCACGATCCATAGGTAGACTGGTCGATGATTCGTCCATTCGCACTCTGAAGACATTAGTGATTATAAAATCGAAGCGGAAAGGGAACGCCGCCAAGCTTGGAGTGGTGGCGGTAAGCCTGTGGGTCGTCTCGTCGTCATTCAAGGCGTTGACTGTGACCAATGCAGAACAAGCGGCGTTGAAGAGATGCGCCATGTGTCGTCGAAATTCCACTGGATTGCGCGGGTAGTTGGTGAACGAGATCGCTCTGTCTGCGATCCATTCCTTTTTCTATCGGTGAGTTTAAATACCCGCAGATGGAGCATTCCTTCTCTGGAGGAGCTGGTAGGAACACACGCACTAGTAAGCAAAGCTTTATCTGTCTGCGGGTCCTCAGAAACTGGGAATTCCGAGAAACGGATAGATGAGTTGAGATGAGTTTGTCCGCCGAAACAACCTTGTCGTGTTCAGCTTCGCTCAACGGGAAGTCGCTGAGGTTCCCATGATCAGATCTTAAACAGGCAGCGAGGAATGAAAACAATTGAATGTTTCCATCCGCTATTGCCATTCTCTACATTCCAATATGTAATATATTATGAAAGAGAGCTTGGAAAGATGTCATGAAAAGATGAAGCGCACCTCGCGGGGAACTGGAGCAAACAGAGATATGACGAGGAGATAAGCAGAGAAGTTCTGCGGCACGCGGTCTGACCCCCTCCGTGCGGTGACGAGGCCGCACTGCAAAAATTGCGTGAGGCCAGAAAACTGAGGCGTAATTTGACCCACCAGTCAAACGGAGAAAGTTCTGCTAGGCAGATGCCGAGAAAGGGAGCTAGTCTTGCCCATGTTGGAAGGGAGGACCGCCTCACTATGTCGACGGTACCAGAAACCTGCGCGCTCGCAGTTAGGCGAGCAAGACACTACTTTGCGGCGCCGTATCTTTAACGGGCGCTCCCGGTGTGACAACATACGTAATGGCCTAAGCGAAGTAGACAGAATGAGAGATAAAAAGAAACAACGGGACGCAGAATGCTATTCATAAACATACACTAATGAAACCATTTGAACGGAGGGCAAGACTTTTTAAACCATAATAACATGAGCATCGCGTACCGAAAAGAAAGAGCTCTTCCGACACCTTTATTCAATCACTAATCAAGACTTCATTCAACTACGATCAGGCCTGATTTACTAATTTAGCAAAACATTCTCTTCCTCTGTGTCAGTGAACGGCTGACTGCCTTATACTGAGTTGCATCTTAACTTGAACTCATTGCTATGCCTTCCTTATACAACGTGAACACGATACCAAAGAAAAGAAAAAAACAGGTGCTCTCGTCGACGACCATCAGTCCCCGGAGAATGATTCAAATTCAAATCTGGAAGCTTCAAATTTAAAGCTTGACAAGCGTTTCGAATGTCAAAGGAGGCTGAATGAAAAAACGAAACGAAGAAAGAAACGCTCTTCGATAAGGTCACTGGCTGGCAAGTTAACAAAGAGGCTTTGAAATTAACGTAAACAAGCCTGAGAGGAGATGTATCATCATGCCCTCAAAGGGGAGCCGCCTATGAACTCGAAACACATGACTAATGCCATGGCAAAAAGTGTTGCGAAAACATTCAAGCGAATTCGAAAGGCAGAACACATGAAAAGTGTAAATCTGTGTGGGGCAAATAAGAGATTAGAGCAAGAAGCGTGTGTGCATGTGATAAGGAAGAATCGACAATTAGTTATAACGTTTGACCTACCTATGTGAACTGCCCTCAGAAGTCGACAAAGGGACTTCAGTCAAAACAGCTTTTGACCGATCCGAAAAAAGAAAGGATGGAGGAAGGAGCTCACAGAAGAGAACGGGTTAATGAAGAATTCATCATGGTTGGCCTGTCAATGACTGTCGAGCTGTAGAAACGAAAAGAGGTGGCCAGACTCATCCTCGCGTACAGGCTCAACAGAACCGAAGAAAAAGGTCTGACATGGGCAAAATAAAGGTAGACTGACTCGCCTCTTCTGGAGTTGGACTCACTGCTACCAGTGATAGGTGCGGTCATACCGCTCAGCAGACTGTGCGNGCGACTAAGACAAAAATAAACAATCAGTTTGTTAATATGATGGAGTGTGAGTATCAGTCCAGTCGATGTCCTTGTCTGGAAGGTGGTGAGCCCAGAGGTGACTATCGATGAAGGCCTGGAGTCTATGGAGGCGACGGGCGTGATCCTCTCGTGTGCGGCGATCAAGCTTCCTTACCAGATGTTGCCGTTCGCGAGTCTTAGGTACGAAGCATGAGATGAGTCAGCTACCGTAACCTGGTATGCTCTATGCACTCTCACCCCGTAAGTCTTAAGTCCTCGTAAGTTGCAATCTCCCCACCAGGAATCGATGACGAAGAAATAATAAGGGGTTCATCTACACCTTCTATTCTCTTACACTCCGATGACTCTTACGTCCTCTTACTGGAGTAATAAGGCTTCAGAATACCTTACGAAAGGAATTGCGCTGCACTGTTCCAAATCGGAAGGTGTAGCCATAATAGGCCTCTGATATAGGTTATGTACGGTATCCTGGAAGCTTTCAATCCTGGCATCACTAGCGGAACCAATCCTGTAGTATTTTCTCGAAAATCACTCTCTGCTAGGAGAGATGCTACCTCCCACAACCTCTGTTTTTCCGATTATACGAGGTTTTATCCACCGCTTTCGGCGCATCATCTACTTAGACAGTCTGTGGATCACCTTGTCTACATTTTGAGGAGAAGACGACTTTAATAAAGACTGAATTGCATCTTCAGTTGCCTAAATTTACTTTTCAAGCCTTACTCTATTACTCTCGACACAGCTCACGATAAAAATGGTTTCGGAGATTTCCCTATAGTATGAATTCGAGGCTTCTCCTTGTACCATACCTGTCATTATAAGGCCGAGAAACGTCCTAGAAAGGGTACGAGAAGGATCCAGAGATTGTATCGTGGGAATGCCACACCCCCAGTGGACGAGCTTCAACGGCTTTGTAGAGGCTGCACCTTTCATAAGAAAACCAATGTAGGAAGTTCAACCAACTTGTCATGACCAATAGCGACAGTGAAACGAAATTCTAGGCAGTTATGGAAGCAAGTTGAATCTCGTCCAAAACGCCTTACATGCTATTCTTGCCGCGGTGATCTCGTACAACCTCCATTTCTAAAACTTTTAAAAAGCTTGAAGTAGGCGGATGTTCTCGCTTTCTTCGCCACCGAAGTATTCCTCTACATCAACACTTCCGCTTTTCAATCTCAAAAAGGGTACCTCAAAATTATCGTGAATTGTGCCTTTGAAAATATGAAAACTGAAACTCGTTTATTCGACGCCTGCTTGGTGTTCCATAACTTCTTTATTTGTGTAAATTTAGAGACATCGAACAATGATCATTCTTGGCAACAAGTGTCCTCGATCCCTACAAAACTAATGACGTCTCTTCAATTGTTTGCTTAAGGCAACAAGAAGAGTTGGTTCACATGTTATTGAAACAATTTGCAAGAAAAGATTTGCTACACACACGGGCAAAGCTGTGTCATATGATGTTGTGGCAATGCCAGATGGAGAAGGCAGGCCTTGAAACTATAGAGGTGATTACATTTGCTACTATGCTCATTGTCAGATTGTAAGATGTGCGGAAATGAATTCACGATTTGGTAATTTGTTGCCTGACTGTTATGAGAGTAGTTAACAGTATGTTACAAAGTAAAGAAATCAGGTTGACCGCAAGTAAATTTTCGGTACCTCATTTGACTTTGCCTTCGAGCAGCGCTTATTCAGATTTTGCTCTCAAAACTTATCGATGAGGAACCGATATACCGTGAAAAAAGTGCAGAAGGGTTGGCTTACTGGTTGAAGAAGAATAAAGTCCGCAGTGTGCGAATGAACTGGAAGTGCCCAGAAAAGGTGGGCTAAGTTATTTATCTTATTTCCATTCTAAGCTTTAACTTTAAGGTGCCCGAAACAGTCCCACTGAGGTGTGGAATACGTCCGGACAATTTGTGCTTGGCTTACGATTCAGAAAATCTACCTAATACAGAAGAAAAGTGGAACAACACGGTGTTTTTCTCCAAGCAATTCGGCTGCTACAAATGGCCAGAGTATGTTGCAAAGCTGAAGATTTTCCTTTATACTAGGCTGATTTTCTTTGCTTGCAGAACAATAAGTGTAGTTGTATTGGCCAAACAAGCACAAATTGATCGCCCAGAATTGAATGAATGTGAAAAGACGATCGTGGCGGCTTTCGAGGATCCACAGCTATTTTTTACATGGATTAGTATACTTATCTTCGAAAAGAGAGATATACCGGAACTCAAAGAAAGCACTATATGGATTGTTAAGGTAACTTCTATAAGAGGCTGATCAGTGTGGCAGAAATTAATAAAAGGTAAAGTTAAGGGGCCAGGGTAAGATGAGGTTGAGCACGAGAAAATACGAAAGTTGTCAGTGTGAAAACGGCTCCGCTCTGAGTGTTTCAAGTTGGGAACCTAATTCCAGTTATACTTAGGATTGATGTAAAATGCATCATCCAGCAGTATCATGAGAAAAATACAAAGAATCTTCCTCAAGGACCCGTCCCACAAAATCATTGTGTGTCAACATAACTTCGATGAATCCTGACGGAAGGCGCCTGACTCTTTTAACGATTAGATTGATGCATAATTATTGCGGATTATTTCAAAAAATCTTATTCAAAGAAATGATAAAAATATCTAACAAAGACATGTTCAAATAATTACTTCGGAACGTATCCACCATCTACGTTAAGCACTGCTTTCCATTTGCTAGTCAGTCGGACACCTCAGGCGAAAAATTTTCGATTCTTGGAGGCGATCCACACCATGACATCGGCCAATAAGTCATCAATTTCATCGTAAGTTCTGCTCGCTGGCCAATTTTCCAACGATCGATGCCGTGATATTCCATATACGAGTTCCTGTGGGTGAATATGGCCGATTCAGAAGCAGCACCCAACCCTTACTTGGCTCTGACTGACTGTTCCATGGCCGAAAAATTCGTTGAGAACTCCAAATGACTCAGCCACCTTCCAACTTTTCTCGAGGTAGTAGAGCATAACGTGGCGAATCTGAAGATGACTTTCAAGAAGCATCTCTGTAAAGAGAAGCGAGAAGTTTATCCCTATAAACTCCTGAATTCAATATCCAAATTCTATCGAGAGAAAAGAAGCCGCGAAAAAATCCGCAATAATTATGCATCAACCTAATAATAAGTGATTGTCGGAAACCTGGGATCGCCTCAAAAAGCATTTTCACGCTATGTCATAGCTGCCTCTTCGCCAGCGTGACCAGCGCAGTATGAATACTGATTTCCGCAAAAAGCTTTAAACTCTACTTCTCCGCTTCCTCTTCCCAGCCATTGCCCGCCACTTCCCCAAAAAAGTTTATGTAATCTCCCTCCACACCCCGTACCTTCTCCTCCCCTTCCCTCCTCCCCCGTCTTACACGCCAAGTACAGAAATACAGTGATTTAATGTTGTGCAAAAATCAAAATGCTGAGAAGGCTCAGACAAGAAGAAAAAGTGAAGTCGTGCCAAATGATTTTTTAAATTGTTTTTGATTGCAGTATCTCCTCCGAAACTTCCCGAATAGCACGATCATTTTCCAAAACATCACAAACACTCTCCTGAAGCTGATGAAATCCCGCCAGGTTGATTTCTGCCTGTATCAGTGTATTCTGCTTCATCACAAACTAGCGCTCATTTCAGCGAGCGCACCAACGACTTGCTGCCGAAATCTTCGCTGGAGTGGCGCAGGGAACGAAGTATCGCGGATTCAAAGTGCTCAATGATTTGTGGACCACATTGTCTCAAGCCGTGGATCTCATGTATGATTACATGAATGCCGACGCCTACAATTTATGGAGCGTCGTGATGATTCAAGTGGGTGCAACAATTAACTTCGGTAGAGTTATATGCGTAGGTGACGCAAAGCGAAAGGGAAGCGCAAGAGAAAGATAAAGACGATAATTCTCGGAGCATGCAATCGGTGTTGATCCCGTGAGCCAACAATATATGTATATATGTAGAAATGAGTTCCTGAAAGCTTATTTTATACACAGGTACTCCAGCGTGACGATACTAGACGATATTGGTGGCTGATAGAACAATTTTTGAAAGGCATGAGTCGTCCAGCACCAACTGCGTGGCATCGAGCTGTGTAGGTTTTAACTCATACACTATGTTCAGCATTCGTAATCAAGTTGCACGTGAAGATATCAGTTCATCAGTTGACGATTGAGATTGAAAACTACAGTTTTATATAGCTGACTTTTTGATGTTGTGGCCTCGGATGGATTTGTTGCAAAAGCTCTTTGAGCGAGTTCCTTCTGAAGTGACCTTATGTGAGCACATATGAATAGCTGGAAGTGTCGGGGATATCGTGAAATCCTAAACGGTAGTCAGCCTTTATGGTCTTTGATGTCGTCATCGTGTCCTAAGACTTCGCCAAACTGTCCCTCAAAAAGAAGTCAGTTGAGTAAATGGAATCTAGGCTGATAAGGGAATGCCAAGGTCTGTGGGTATCATGGACAACGGATACTTGGACGAGTAAAACTTCCCCTTGTAGGCGCCTGCTAGCAATGCCAGCGAATCGATGGAGAGAAGTGGAAACTCGTCGTCGAATTTGCGAAATCGCTTGGCGTGATCTCCCAAAGGCTAAAATTGATACTCAGCGATTAGCAATATCCACGTAAGTTTTATGCACATTTGCTTAGTCAGCTTGACGATAGACTGGCATTAATTTTTGATGTCAGGACGGTATTGTATTGCTAAAACCACTTTCATCTCATGACCTGTTAAGATCGTTGAAGAACATATGTGTCTTAATGGATGCAAATATGAACAACGATTTCAAGGACCTACCCGAGCGTTTTCGACTCGAATCTGCTGATTATTGGTTGAAACGATTCGAAAACAATGTCAGTATTCCCAGTTCAAGCTGCTTCAGTTGTTTAGAGGCACAGTTCACGATAATTTTTGGTACTCGTTTTTATTTGAAAAGCGGAATTGTAGGTTGGGAATAGTTCATCGGTAGTGAAGAAAGCGAGAGATCCGCCAATTTCGAGAAAAAGTATGGCTCCTCAAAAATAGAGAAGATAGAGGTCGGACGAGATTACCATGACGGAAATAACATGGAAGGGGTTTTCGAACGAGATTTCAGTCGTTGTTATCGCGCAAAGAGCTGACTAAATCAGGCCAAAACTGTACAGAACGGTCTTCTACTGTCGCTATGAGTCATGACAAGTTGTTTGAACTTCTTACATGGGTTCCCTTATGATCGATGCAGCCTCTATAATGCGGGTGAAACTCGTCCAAGGATTCACACGGGCCAATGTATAGCCTTTATAACTTCCTAACCTGGCCGTTTTCCGACCTTGTAGTGCCAGATATGGTGTACGCGGGGAATCAAATTCATTCTGTGGGGGAATTTCAGGAAGCATTTTAATCGTGAACTCTGCCTTTAAAGGTAGAATTGTGGAACGAGTTCGTATCCTATCCGTTTTCAGCTTGGTGAATTGGATGGCAGCAAATCAGGTCAGGACAGTACACAAGGTTCAAAGACCAGTCTAGCGAAAGCAATCCCTACTGATGTGTCAATGAACAAGGCGATTAACAAATTGGCGGCAACCTCTGCAGCTACTAGTAATGACGATAAGGTAAGTAGGAGACGATTTCAACGTTCTTGCTCTGTGGAACCCAATGCTAAGGTGAAAACGTATTTGCAGCCTCAAATTTACCTGAGAACACTTTTGGAGTTTCTTTTACAATACTACGAAAACTGTATAACATGCCTCACACCTAGCATCATATCTTTGTTCCCGGTATTACTTGAATATGCAAATCAAGACGATGCAGAATATGAGTAAGTTCCAAAATTCTATTAATCGTTTTGTGGTTATGATGGTATTCATTTAGATTACATGGCTCTCTGAAGGATATGGATATAAAATTAAGTGCAAATAATCTTATACATGACAGCATGTCGAGCTTATTCCTGACGTCGAAGTTTGCAGATTCATTTCTAGGAATTGTTGCACAAGTAAGGCATGGCTGGAGGTTCCGTTGGTGCCGTAATGCGGAACGATTTTCAAACTGAGTCCTAACGTGGCAGCGTGGCTTGTGTCTTACGTTGTTAAATGAAAAGGCACAGGCTGTTTCATAGTGAGATGAATTCATTTTCCTGCAAACCATAGCATAACCAAATCACCTTGCCGATCCTTTCTAATATTAGGTTGGAAGGAAAGTCCTGCAACAAAAAATTTGAAGCGACAGCAATTTGTATCAACAGTGTGAACACGATAGCAAGAGTGATAACTTTGTAGGACATTCCTCAGGTAATCAACACATGGGTAAATAAGGGCACGCGTGTGGGCTTTAGCAGCATTACGGTCAATGAATGGACAACACCCGATTCGTACCATCACATTCTTCTAAGCACGCCAAGGGAAAAACGCGGGTGGAGCAGCTCAAATTATAAGCAACTTATTCAGTGCTGGCACTGCTCACCGATCAACGGTCAACAATCGGCTGGATCGCTTCACTGCAGGAGATACTAGCCTTCCAAGTCACGCAAGCATCGTTCCTTGATTCAATTTGGAGGGATCCATCCACTACGAGTTGCTAATCGCAGACTAGATGGACACAGGGATCGGTTACCCCTGTGAACCCCAGAATTTGGCTAGCGAGATTAGAGTAGGACCATCAAAACCGTAAATCAGGTCCTTTTAGAGGGNTCAACGGTCAACGATCGGCTGGATCGCTTCACTGCAGGAGATACTAGCCTTCCAAGTCACGCAAGCATCGTTCCTTGATTCAATGGAGGTTGGAGGGATCCATCCACTACGAGTTGCTAATCGCAGACTAGATGGACACAGGGATCGGTTACCCCTGTGAACCCCAGAATTTGGCTAGCGAGATTAGAGTAGGACCATCAAAACCGTAAATCAGGTCCTTTTAGAGGGACAGCGCACGTCGAAATTTCGCTTTAAACACGCGTCAAAAGTTTCACAATTCGAATTGGTTCCAGATTGTTCATCAGTCGTACTCCCTATGTGTTGCCCCTTTTACCTACCATGCACACCGCCTTCTTGAGCATACCGTTGTGGAGAAAAAATCGTAACTTAATGTGATCTGAAGACGGCAGTCAATTGCTTCTTTGAGTCACAGCTTCCTCACTCCTGGATAAAAGGCATTATTGATTTACCCGAAGGATAATAGAAGGTTGTTGACCTCTTTGGTAAATATATTTCCGAAAACTGATTGGCCTGGAAAATTCTAGAAATGATTTGAAAAAGACCTTCAATGTGTTGCAGGACTTTCCTTCCAACCTAATATGTTCTCATCGTGAATGTCAGGATGGCTGAGAACCTCACAGAAAAGTCCGCATCAAAAGGATAAAGGATAAAGCTTTTGGCGTTAGTCAGTCCCGTCTGAAGAATGCGCCCCCGCACTCGAGTTCCATTCATAATCGTAGTGGCGTAATGAGTGCGTACGAGACCTATACAATTATCTGCGGTGGCCAGCCGATGTACAACTCAGGGCTTTTATCCTCCCAGACAAGTCTGGTACCAATTTACCGACCCCGCGGGGATGGAAGGCTTGGTTGGCCTAGGTGGATATCGATCTGGGAGTCGAGCCCGTGACCGTGCGTATGAGTGCGCCGCTTGTCACTACATCGATATCCACCTCCGCCAACCAAGCCTACAGTACCTCAGGCAGCGGTAACGTTGAACACTTCAACTCATGTCGGGCACTTCCTGTTTATTTGCCATTGTCTAGTGCTGGAGATGTTGATGACAATCGTAGTTCTTTTCTATTCAGAAAAGCGAGTAAAATAGTGGATTGTCTGGTTTTCCTTACTTCTCGACAAATTTCCACAAAAGCGGCAGTAGTTCCGCAGCGGCTGCCGTATCCTTACATAGGGTATTCTGACCCTTCCCTTCATAGCGCGCAACTGCGCTAAAGGCTGCGGCGAGAGCGACGCGATTTCCAGGTCGGGGAGAAGTTACCACATCCCACATTTCATATTCCGCGTCAAAGAAAGGTTTAATGTGAAAGCGAGGTGCGAACACGGAGAATGAGCAAGAGAGGTAAGTTGATGGTAACACGTAGCTGTAGAAGAAACGGTGAACTTCTTAATGCTCTGACCAAGGGCGAACATTACCCATGACTCATCCTGACCATTATAACCGCTCTCAGCTTGATCGACAAACCCTAACTCCAATCATCACATCAGCACTGAGAAGTAATCAACAGGTTAAAAGGAACTGATGAAAACACCCGCAGTTGGCAATGGCTCAATATTTATTAGCGAATGAAGCATCTACTTTCCAGTCATTCTACACCACATATCTATGGCGCGTGAAAGTATCAGTCCTGAAATTCATTCAAGTACTTGTTTTTTCCAATATTTATGAGTTAGAAAAGGGATCTCGTCCTTCGAAGGTTTCTAGACTTATCTTGGATGCTATTGTCGATCACCAGGTTGGCTAGCTCACTTTCACGCCTAGTTCTTTTGACGATTCCCTTACATTACAAGAGTGAAGTACGTGTGGAAGCGTCTCGCGCGATGTTAACTCTGATCCTTTGCGATTATACCAAAGTCGATGAAGAGCTTCTGGTGAGTTCTTTTGCTTTTAATGCTGGATCGATGAATTTCTATCTTATAGTTGAGCCCCTTACAGGCTTATTTGAATGATCTCATGAAGAGCAAGAGCACTGCTGTATTGCATGGTGGAATACTTGGAATGGCGGCTGTCGTACGAGCTCATCCATTTTCGACAACACCTGCAGTAAAAACAGTCTTGCGGGCGCTCTGTGAAGTCACCGGTCCTACTGCTGAGCATCAGGTGAATTCAAAACTCTTGATAGACTAGCCTGGTCTGTAGGACATGCAAGAGCCTCTTTATGACAATACTTCCTTCAAATCACCTTATTTCAAGGATTGGAATGAATGAATGGTAATCCATGCTGCAGCCTTTCCCCTACGTTTCCTAAACATCATCGTAAAATAATTATTGTTTTAGTATTGCCAGCACTTGAGCGTTAAAGGCGGATTGTCCGGCACAGTGAACGCGTTCTGTGGCAAGAGGACTATAATGTCCCAGCTGGTTTGATCAGCGATGGAACGGAATCACCTGGATGGCGACGATTTGGCTAGCGACCGATGGCGCGACCGGTCGCTCGACCAGTCGTGCGACCGGTCGCGGGCAAAATCGTGGACTATGAAAGTAGCCAATGGAACAATCGGAAAGCGGATTTGCACGCATGGCGCTACGAGCTAACTATGGCTTATTTTTGTTTAGCTCGACATGTTTAGCTACCAATTCTTTGCCAAAGAATGTAGATCTCGATAAAAGAGGTTAAATCAGAATTCAACAGGCTGTTGTTCAGAGAACTGCAACCACTGCAATTCGCGAGTTCCGTCGTACACATCGAGAAAATTGGGAGTCTACTGCACGATTTTTGGGATCAGACCTTGTGTTCAAGATCGAGAATGCCATAGCTCCTCTCTATTACGCTTAAAATAGTATTTCTTAATGTCATTATAGTTTAATTTGCACTCTACGTCTTTATTGTCTTCCTGAAGTATGTTATAAATTAATGTGTGTTTAATATGGCCTACACACGGTAATTCCATAGACACCTAACCAAATATGCACCAATACTGATCATTGCATATGCTAAAATGGGGCAGAAAATCTCACATTTCCATAAAGTTCAGTTCTTACTTGTTGAGAGCATCCTCAATCGTCAGCAGAATGGTAATTCTGAAGCTGTGATTTCATGCTCACCTCTGAGGTGTCATTTAAGTCCACTATGTAGAAGAAGACGAACGAAAACACAGACGAACATGAATCCTTCGACTGTGTATTCTGGCAGTTTCCCTTTACGTGCATTGAAATAGAAGCCCTTGTGAAGCCATGCTGGAAATGGGACGTGCCTCAGCTGAGAGTTAGCATAACTGAAGTCATCCACCAGCATAACATAAGTATGCCACCTGACATTAGGAACTTTTTTTTAAGTGCTTCAAAGAATATTAGTTGTTCCATAAAACTTCTGAACTGCGTCGTCTGTGGAAAGAATATTCCATTGCAGTTCTAAATAGGATTATGTAGCCATCACTTTTTCAAGGGCATAGCTATTCCAATGCAGAATTCCGCTGGTTTCTTTTAGCGTACTCTTCAGACAGCTTATTCAACCCTTCACGGTAAAGTGTCTACCAAGCTTGCAAGTACGATTTGCCCTCGAGCACTTATTTAAACTGGATTTCAATCTTGACTAAGGCACTTCCACTTACTTTCTGCATGCTACTTAACCGCGCATTAAGTACCCTGCGAGACAGACAAGGCAATCTTCTTCATATCCAAATGTCGGATTTGAGGATATTCAGACCTCTACAGTGTGGTTTGTTGGTCGCCTTGCAACATAACGATGATGATATGATGTACTTAGCAGCCATCGGTCTTCACTATGTATTTAGCATCCATCGATCTTCATTCTTGAATCTTGCCATTCCAAATTAAAGTTCTCCACAGTGGACGGAAAATTTTAGTTGGGATGGCACCGTTCTGCCGAAACCCTCTCTGATAACGGCTTATTTGATGGATGGTGTGATGCTGCTAGGAAAGTGTTGTCGTTGTTGTCCCACGAGGCACCCTTGAACAGGGTGTCCCAAAATTATGAGCGCCAATATTAAGAAACTCTAAGGTTGGTGTCAATCATCGACTCCCTTCACCAGCTATTCACTAGTTGCATAGGGAGGTTTCCTTACAAAGTACATGTTTACTGAAGGGAAAGCCCCAACATCTTTCGGAGGGGGAGGTTCATTCAATGCCACTTGCAATCATTGACACGCGAGAGATGGAAGGGCATTATGAAATTCCTTGGGGTTTTTAGAATAACCGTATAGGAGGCTATAAACGATATCGAGAAGAAGATTGAATCGGGAACAAACCAGAAAGAGGTGGAAAGGCCAATGTTTCTGATAATAATAATGATGATAATGGGTGACCCATCAAAAGGAAGTCAACGGGCACGGCTTATCGGCGTTAACTCGATGGAGGAATGTCATGCAGAGGCTTCATTGCCATTCCTATCGTATGCAGAAATCCACCTTCATTTCCGAACTGAACAGACAGCGTAGGGTGAAAGGATACAGATGATTGTTGAGTCGCTTGTGTTGAAACACTCATCTCTGCATCGTTTTCTTTGGCTAAAAAAACCTTAAGCAAGAACCATTCCTCAAAAAGAAGACGATCGTGTTCCGTATTATGAACGTGCCAACTCTCACAAAAAGTTACTATAAAAACAGCAAAATGATGTTTTTCGAGGAATTCACTGGCAAGGGTAAGACGTCGTGTTCCAGTCCCGGTTTGGGGTCCGAGAAAGCAAGACTCAAAAAAAGCTGGGAAGAAATGGAGGATACCTGCGAACAACAGGCGAGGTGTTCGCGCAAACTTTGGGCCACGCTCGTGGGGGATATTTTGAAAATGACTTTAGCATGTTATAGCACCTGATGTAAGCAAACGTGTATATAGATTCCATTGTCATCCTCAGCTGAGAGGCTTTAAATACATTGCCATGAACTGGCGTCCATGGTTGCCCAAGCTTCAGTTATCGTTCCCGTACAGAGGGCATTGAATTACTCCTTCAACCCGATGAAAGCAATACATGACGAAATCTTGTACTCCCGCAGTAGTTTGAGTTCTGAGTAACCCGGCAAGAGTAGTAGCGGGGAGGGAGTTACCTTGCTCGTGATACACACTGATCATGGTCAATAAGTAGCAATATATGCGGAGGAGTGAAAGAAAACATGAAAAATAGTGGTTTTGCGTAGTTAATACATAGAAATAACGGAATTTTCTGTCGAAACCTGCGATCGCATCATTAACCATTGGGCAGCGTACTGCTTCCAAGTGAACTGGGTTCCCTCGCGTGCAATTTGGAATAGAGCGAAATAACAGATATCTGCAAGGTAGGTATCACCAGCGTGGTCTTTCCAATTAAAACACTCTAACGAATATATGTTAATCTCCAATGGATTTCATTTGATGAATATCTTGATTACTTTTGTATACTCCTTATTTTATGCCCTTGATTCTCTTTTGAATATTCTATTTCTATACTCATCCTTATTATATTGAACCAGTCGACTAGCCCGTCTGACGCCGTTCTTCCCTCCTTCTTTGACAAAGTTTTAGTAATCGGTTAACTTTACTTCTCTGAAACAAATAATATTATCCTTTACACGAACGTTGACACAGGGCTAACAGGGCAGTGCAAATGGCATACAGTGGAAGTCGGTGATTGCGCCTTTGATGGCACAGTTCACGATAATGCGATGAAGGCAAAGGAACTGCGTGAATAGGTAATTCCAAAGTAAAAAAGGGCTTCGAAAAATGGTTCAAAAGAGGGCTGGACGAGAATAAGACTAGAAGAGTGGACAAGAGTGGGGCGTTTGGACTAGCTATACAGTGTGGATCATTGCGTACTGTGGGTCCTGGTGCAAATAAGTGACTATGGTAAACGAAAATTCATTCCCTTATAGGCATAAGTTTACAAACAAACCTCAGTAACAGCAAAAATAACTAAACTTTTTGAGCCTCTTGAGGTATGAAGTAAATGAGGGATGGCGACAGCAAAAAGAATAACAGGGGAAAAGAATGGAGAAATCATTGCCTATTTACTCGGCGATTAGCTGATTGGGTGTGGGTCCCNGAACGAATAATAGCAATCTGTATTGTCTCGACACTCGCCTAACGTGACACCGACAGCAACGGGGTTCCACTACGGCAACAACGGGGTTCCACTATGCCCTAACCGCCGATTTTTTGGGCGCGAGAGGGTCCTTTCTATTACCTTTGGAAACCGCTGGGTATTCCTATGGGAAGAACTCAGTACCCATTTTTATCGTGAACGGTGCCTTTAATGGCAAAAAATGAACAAAATTCTCATCTGTTTATCGCAGAGCGGCTAATGGGTTCCGATTAGTGCCCTTACCCTTAACTTTTGTCAGCCTATTCTATCATCTCCTCATATTGAATGAAACATATCAAAGTGTTGTGAGAAGAGAACATATTAATGTTAGGCTGTGAGTTTCCCTGCCGTTAAGTTTTAGTTGGTAAGTGACCCCTGCTCTCTAGGGTCATTTATCAGCTCTTATCAGTCGTTTTCACTTCCTATCACGAAATATCTACGACCACGTCAAATCCTACACCACCTATTGAAGTGCTTCCAAGGTACACTAAGGAGAATACAAACCTAGTGGCGCTAGCCTTTTAGGCTCTTTGTCAGCCCTTACCCGCTTGTTATCAGTCTTTATCACCAATCACCTTCTGTCCATTCACATTCACGTCCCACAATCCCTACTGAAGTGCTTCACTCTAAATATGAAAGACGTTGCAGACTTGGTGGCTCTCGCCTTCCCTGGCTCGTTACCAGTCTATAACAGTTGTTATTAATCCCCATCATGAACGGCTTCTTCTTGATCCAAATCCCTTACAAAAATGGCAAGGCTCCACGGTTAACACGAAGGAGGTAACTGATCCTGCGGCTTTAGCTCTCTAAGGCGCTTTATGAGTTTCTTTTCACTTATTATCACCACTATCACTTATTATCATGTTCCCGTCTCGTCGCCTATACTCCTACCAAATTTTAAGCTTCAGGAAAACTTGAACAGGAGGTCGAAAATTTCTATCGCGAAGCCCCACCCCCTGTGGGTGGGGTCTAGTACTACTATCTGCCATAAGTGTTCGCATCCTGCCCCCTGTACTCCTACCATGTTTCAATGCTCTAGGTGTACGGGAACGGGAGTTATGGATTTCCGACACACACATGCACAAACACATCGGCAATTCAACAGACACACTTAGCGAAGATATATAGAAGAATGTTTCATTTTACCCATTTGTTCTCCCTCACCCTCCTGATGGGGGCGGTGGTAGGATATTTACAAGTTAGGCTTCCATTTCGGGCGCGTGAAAACGGAAGCTTAACTATATTTCGATTTCCTACACATCTTCCAAAATTTTGGATTTGTCACTAATAGAAATACTTCATTTGATAAATTTTTTGACATTGTGGACGTAATAGATTCTACTGAGCTCTCTTCGAAACCCTGCTTGCTAGCACGGCTTACATTCACATAGAATTCTGCCAATCCTGTCGAAAATGAGTGAAAATGCGTGAAAAGTCTATGAGTAAAATGCAGCAAGTATTGGGGTGATAGCTACCAGTATGTATAGATGTTCTTTCCCATGCAGTAACACGGTCTGTATAGTTTTCTACAACGTGAATACTTTGCATTATAACAGGAAACGTGTGAGAACCTAGCAAGAGATCTGACGATAAGTCTTTCCCAGAAACTTTCCTGAGATTTTGCATCAAATCTAGTAGAACGTTCCTGTTATCGCTTATCTGATGATACAAGTTTTCAGGATGGGATCAAAGACGAGTGGTAGCACAACACAGCTTGGATTGCAGCAAGACAATGCCAGGTACCACCGAACAATGTGCCCCATATTCGAGTCTACGTTGGAATGAAGGGCTCTGAGAACAACTTGCTTCACTTGCGCTGACTCCATGCATAAAATATAAAAAATACATAATGCTTTTGCAAAACTTCAAGTTTTCTAGCTATTACGAAGTTGTAGAATTATGTTGAGGTTCTGAAATTCTGAAATGATTGTAATAAGAGTAGCGTAGTAGACTGTAGTCTTCTAATCAAGCTTATCAAGCAAGCGTTGTTTTCTCATTGCATTTTGCACTATTTAAGGAGTAGTGAGGTAGGGTAGATTCACAACTCCGACGTTTTACTCCGACAGAAGGCTTCCAACAGCAATTGATGGTAAGGATGTTGACTTGCTCAGAAGTTGTCCGAAATCTTCTTCGTTTCAGAAACCTTCATTTGTGGTGGTAGATGCATCTGTCGGAGTGGAGAGGGAAGTCGCGCGCAAATTTTTGCGTCACGAGAAGAAACTTGCACTTCTACCGTACCATGAAGTACTTTGTAGCGAGTTGGATACTCGTTTCGAGCATATAAAGCACGGCCTTGTCATTGCGGTTCTTATGAATGAACAACGCCCTGCTCTTCGCAACTTCATATTTGCTCTGAAGACGTAAGCTGAGGTTTACTGGAATATGTGGTTTTGTCGGTTTTGTAAGAAGAAAGTCGCTTCTACTACAAAACTAAGATAGTCGTAAGAGAAACACTTTCTGTCTTGAGCTACCGTATTGAAACGACCTTCATATAAAGACTGGAAAACAAAGGTAAATCCTGTGCCCTCCTAATGTCATTAGTATAGTTATATGAGGAAGGGTGCTCATGGTCCTTGATGTTGTGTACATGACAAGAATTTCAGCTTCATCCCCTTAAACCTTTGAGCGCCTAAATAGATAACGGTCTATGATATGAGGCCGAGGTAGGCTGGGATAGGTCATTGGTAATTGTCGGTAGGGAATGATAAACACTGATAAGAGGATGGATGTTTGAAGCTTTGGATAGCTTATAATCGCAATTGTTGGTCTACATATTGCTGTCACAATAGGACGATGCCCTTATAGGTAGGCGTTCTATTGAACAACCCACACATGAGTAATGTAAGATAGGAAGGGAATGAATAAGAACGAGATGCTGTACACAATTCTCGTTCTTATTCATTCCCTTCCTATCTTACATTACTCATATCATAACAATATGGTAGAAATCGATCGAAAGTGTTTAAGACTTACTGTATACAAAACATGCATGTCTTAAATAAAGAAAAGTGACAAAGATGTGAGGATTCGTGAAGCAGTGATGGCCACTTGCATATCATCGACTTTTCTGCAATTCGACTGTCTCATGATAGAAGAGAGACTTTGCTTCAGCTAAACGACTAGAACAGTAATGTGTAACTACTAAACTTAGCTTTCGCATTGACAATAGAACTTCCACAAAACAATCTGAAAGCAACTGAACGAGAAAGGTGTTCAGTTCCAAAGAAGAAAACGTTGTGGATTTTGTGTCCTTGGTAAGTCTGGAAATTAGGGTTTTAGTGCGTGTGATGGCCAAACAGTTGATGGTGGATGAAAAAAAAGGTGTTGACTCAACCTAAGAACGATAGTAACTGACGAGTAACTTGATATTACTAAAACGCATTTGATAAGGGGTGGACGAGGTTCTAATGATTGGTGATGCTGCATAAAATAGTAAAAATTCACAGTATACGAGCATAACAAACTTTGTCATCAGTCGAGTCATTTTGTAAAGTGTTGATGTTGGACATCGGTAGATAGCAACGGGGAAAGAGGAGGAAAGTGATGGCAAAGAACCGCCGAGGTCTAGAAAAACACGGCTGACCAATCCCTTGCGCTGTTATTCTTGCGCCCTTAAAGCGGCATAGATGTTACCTTGTCACGAGCAAGGATGGCCAAGTGGATAAGAGTGTAGATTCATGTCTGCGCTTAGAAAGAACTGAGTTCAATCCCTGCCGCCGTGAAACCCATGGCTTGCAAACATTGCAAAAATGGTATGGGTTCCAGCTGCAGGCGCAGGTTGACAGGCCGGCTGACGGAAAAACCCAGTCACAACAATCATATCAAGAGTTGTACTTGAAACTGATAATTTTTGCTTCTGCCACGAGGTTGTTAGGTGGGAATCTTTATTCTGGCCGACGTTTCGACGGACTCGTCGTTTACTCNATCAGTTTCAAGTACAACAGACATGCCGAGGTTTCAAGATGAGAGAACATGGAATTTAATGCATATCAAGAGCCCCTACAGAAACCAGTAATAAGGCTAGGAATCACCTAGAGGCGGCGCACGGGACCCCAACCGAGTCCGTGGACGGTATGCGAAGGCTTTCAAGGAGTGAACGACCTCTGTCAAAATTAATTCGAATATCGAACTTTGAACGTGGATTTGCTAACTGGGAAGTCCCGAGAGGTCGCTTATCTAATGAAGCGCAGGAATACCCAAGTCCTATGCCTTCAGGAGACCCGCTGGAAAGGAGCAGAGGCCAGGGAAATCGGAGAGGGTGTCAAACTCTACTACAATCGGGTTGACAACAAACGAAATGTTGTGGCCGTAGCAGTGGCGGAGTCTCTCAAAGACACCGTTTCCGCTGTCAGCAGGATCAGCAGTAGAATAATGGCGGTAGGAATGGACACGAAAGAGGAGTACTGCTCAATTACATCCGTCTACGTACCACAAGCCGGCTGCTCCGAGCGCGAAGAAGATAAGTTCTATGTGAGCCTTGACGATGCCATCAGATCAGTTTCGGGGACTAACTCCCATGGTGGTGATCTGAATCGGCACTGAAAGGCAGGAACTGGAAAGGGTAGATGGAGGTATATTAATAGGAGTAAGAAACGAAGAGGGAGAGAGGATTTTCGACCTGGTCATGGCCCATGTCTTGGCAGTCTGCAGCACCTACGCAGAAAGAAAACCTCAGAAGATAACCTACAGCCGTGGAGGGAAAGAAACGGGAAGAGATCAGGTGCTTGTGAGAAGATCGTCCCTTAGAACTACAACGGCTATCAAGGTAGTGCTTGGAGAAGATATGGCTACGTAGCACGGCTCTTCTAGCAGACCTAGCCATACAGCTTCCTAAAAAATTAAGGCTAAAACGGAGCGGAGAATCCGGTGGTGGAAGCTGCACCAAGCCGAAAGAGAGGAACTCAAACGAGAGAACTGGAAGTTGGTTTCCCAGATCCTGAAGACCGGTCCAGCAGACCTGGAGCAATACTGTGGAATCATCCTACAGTGTGCGAGGGGGAGGCTGGGAGGAACTGGAGGCGGACTCCGAGGAGACAATGAGGCATCGCTCTGGAATGATGAAGTTAAGCAAGTCCTGAGACAGAAGAAAGCCGCCTACAAGCGGTGGCAGAAGAGGCGAGGTTCAAGAGACCTGGCTGTATACAGAACTTCCGAGACGACGGCTGCTGTGGCGAAAGCAAAGAATGCGGAAATGGACGCCTTGTACAAAAACTCGATGGCCAACAAGCGGAGAAGTACGGCGCCGGGGTACTTAAGGGCACCGTTCACGATAATTCTGGGTAATTCAGATTATGAGGAAAAATGGAAGACAAGATCGAAACTAGTGCGACTGAGGTGAAGAAACTGCTTGCATCGGTGTTTCCAAAGTGAAAAAAGGCTTCGAAAAAACGTTTAAAAGGGGGCTAGACGAGAATGAAAACAGAAAAATGAAGAAGAGTGGGGTGTCCGGACGAGCTAAGCAGTGTGTTTCACTGCGCGCGTGAGGGTCCTGGTGCGAATAACAGACAATGGTAAGAAAAAATTCATCCACTTATAAGCATAAATAAACTTAAAAACCCTAGTGACAGCAATAAGATCACCTTTTTCAGCCTCTAGGAGTAGGAAATTGAATAAGGGATCACGGCAGCAAAAAGAAAAACAGAGGAAAAAAGAATGGGAGAAAAACAACGCCTCATCACTCGGCGATTAGCTGATTGTGCGTGGGTCTCAGAACGAATAATAGCAATCTGCATTGTCTCGACACTCGTCTAACGTGACACCGATCGAGGGGCGGAAACGCGAACTACGGCAACAAATGGGCTGCCACTATGCCCTGGACGTCGAGANTCGGCGATTAGCTGATTGTGCGTGGGTCTCAGAACGAATAATAGCAATCTGCATTGTCTCGACACTCGTCTAACGTGACACCGATCGAGGGGCGGGAACGCGAACTACGGCAACAAATGGGCTGCCACTATGCCCTGGACGTCGAGACTGGGGGAGTGAGAGGGTCCCTTCTACAACCCAAGGGAGCCACTGAGTATTAATAAGGTAAGAACTCAATAACTTTTTTAATCGTGAACGGTGCCTTTAAGACATCGGGGCGGTGAAAAACGCTAGACCGAAGGTGTAATCCTGAGGAAGCCTGGTGAGGTCAGACGTAGGTGAAAAGAATACTTCGATAGGCTCCTAAACGAAGAGTATCATCTTGAGAACAGCCCCGCGTAGAAGTCACAGCTGGTCCCGTCACACTGTGGACTGAGAATGAGGTGCCTAAGGCAACTGGGAAGATGAAGGCTGGTAAAGCAACTGGTCTTGATGGGGTCCCCATCGAGTCGAGACTTGAGGGGCGCTTGAAGAACACTGGATTAGGATTAGGTGGCTCACACGATTCCTGAACACTGTGCCCTGTGCCTTCCCCATATTCGAGAAGAAAGGGGACGCGATGGAGTGGGATCAGGCTGACTGCTCGCACAATGAAGTTGTACGAGCGGTTAGTCGACTCAAGATAGAAAGAACTCGTCCAGTTCTCATGGGAGCAATTCGGCTTCATGTCAGGAGGACGACCTACAAGGTGCTATCTTTAGAAAAGTAATGGAGAAGTATTGATAAAAGCGTAGACCTTGCTACCTCGCCTTTCTCGATCTGGAGAAGGCCTTGGGCCGCCTCCCGCGACAAGTCCTTTGAAGGGCGCTCTGAGAACGAAAAACTCCAGAACACCTAATCTCCCTGGCCAAAGACATGTACGATGGGTCGACGACAGCAATGCGCACTCCCCACGACCTGAACAAGGCAATAGACGCCACGGTTGGGGTACACCAGGGATCAGCTATAAGCCCGTTTCTCTTCTTACTTACACTGAATGTCATCACAAAAGGACTCATGGATGGACCACGAGAGACTATTCTCTACGTTGACGACAACGCTCCGCTAGCGAAGAGCAGGGAAGAACTTCAGGAAAAGCTGAGAAATGGCGGAAAGTATTGGCGGGTAATAGGCTGTGGCTGAACGTGATGAAAACCAAGTCTCTCAGCTCCCAAGAGTGCACGGAGTCATCTCCGAGGGGTGCATGTAGACGGCCTCGGGGAAATCATCGGAAGGGTACAGGACTTCCGATACCTGGGGAGTGATCTAGCCCCTGATGGTAGCGTGGACCAAGCTGTAGGCGTGGCTCCCGTCTAAACGCGGCGTGGACGAAGTGGAGGGTATCCTCTGCAACCGTCGGTGCTCCAGGGCCGCGATGATCTACGGCAGTGAGTGCCGGTCCATAAATAGGAATCATGAAAGACTTCACTCCACTTCATACGTACTGAGCAGACCACCCGAATCATCCGATAAGGGAGACGTTTGAGTTCGAAGCTCAAGGGAAGCGACCACGAGGAGCCCCAAAGAAGAGGTGGTGGGACGTTATAAAGAGGGACTTCGCTGAAGCTAGAGTAACGGCAGAAGATGCCGTAAATGGAAGGAATTGGAAACAGCTCAGAAGAATAGCGGATCTTGCGACGGCGCGGGATCAATATAGGGAGAAGAAGAAGTGAAATAGGTGTCACATGGTAGCGTACACTGTTCCCTGTGTCATATAGGATACCGGACTTTCCTCGGTTCGAGGACTATGGGAAATTGACCTTTTCGCTTCGAAACTGTAGCGAAGAAGTCTTCATCGCTTTGGCAGTAATCCTGGTGTTCGTTCGACGTCTCGATGCTCTAAAAACGACTTCACCGTCGCACACCACAAAAAAACAACTCTAACGACCTTGTCGAAGCTGTAGTGCTTAAACTATCCGCGTTGAGACGCACACGTTGCTCGCAGGCAGCTTACTATTATATTAATGACAGTTGTACGAAATGGCACACACATTTGGACAGCTTGCCCAAACAACCTTCCCTTGCAACCGTCGTCGTCATGACCTATTAAGCCCCTCATTTTACTAGTTTCGAAAGACTCATGTCCCTCTAGAAACGCCGATTTTGCGATTTCTTCGTCACTTTTGTTTTACTCGTAAATTACCAATTTTTCCCGCGTCTCAGAGAGTTTCTGGATAGAGTTGTAATTTTTCGATTTATGACCCGCCCACTTCAGTGCCAACCCCGCCTACTTCTGGGATCTGTCCATATTTGTTCTATTACATCTTACCACTTTTTCCAGGAAGTTCTTGAATAGTGTTTAAATTTTTGATTTAAGCCCGCCCACTTATGTGCCAACCTCACCCACTTCTGAGACTGGACTACATGCCCTATTACATATTACCACTTTCTTCATGAATCTCAGAACTTTTTGAATAGAGTCATACGTATTTTTGAAAAGTAGCTTCCCTTTCAACGCACGCCCCTCCCATCGTATTCGGTGCTTCGCTAAGTTTCCGCATGTCCAGCACACATGAGGCCTTGCTCACCCTACTATCTTTTTTTTGGCCTCCAGGCCTTCATTGAATAAAGTCATGAACCTGTGCGGGAGGTACCGTCATTGCGAGTACGCTCCGAACACCGTCGGTGAGTCTCCTTAAGTTCCTTTATTGGCACATCCCTCACCTTTGCTCATTTTTTTCTGGCTCCTGGTGGTTAGGAGACCGAAAGAGAAGGGTTTGTCCAAGACACACCCACTCCAGTGCATGTCCTGTCCCCTGTCGGTGGAGCTCCGCCTCACATGTGCGTTGGTCTTACCCTAAGCTCAACCCACTCTAAGCTTGACCCAACCTCTCCAGGTGTTCTACGAACAAACGCTAGCGATTTATATATAGTAAGGATATTAACGCTATCACGTGCCCCCCCCCCCCTTCCAAATTTTCGGTGAGATTTATTCTCACCGAAAATTGGATTTGTTTAAAAGATTAATATGTCCAAGCCCACAACTGCTAAGATTTCTGCTCTTGTAGTATTTGTTATCAGAATGGAAATGGTCCACGTGTCACCCCAAGCAGCACAGTTCTGAGTAAGATAATCGCACTTCAAACAGCAAATAGAGAAAACAAAATACAGAATTACATTAGCTCTCTAGGATCATCTGAATACTAATCGAAGTTCGCTAGCAAAGTTGAAACCACGAAATTTCAGTTTTGTATCTACTTATGGCTTTCGATTTACAAAGGAACAATTAATACAGCTGATTAAAATGGTATACCTCGTCTTTGTTAGAAAAGATCAGTGGGCAGATATAATCATTTATGCCGCAAAAGCTCTCGAAGATTTAACAAAGTAAGTTATGAAATAACAGTTAGAAATGTTGGAGTTTTTGTGATTGGACGCAAAAGACGCAAAACACTGTCAGTTATCAAAATTTATAGCAAGTCGTACCTAACCTACAAAGAATTAGAATTGGATTGGATGCCAGTGTATGAATTGTATTACGGTGCAAGTTATGGCAAACTTGAGGAAGTTGAAGGGAAGAACCTACGAAATGCTATTTTCCGGTTGAAGCGCTTCTACAAACCAAGTGAATCACCAAAAATATGGGATAAGGTTGGTGGTTATTGATCAAACAAAGAATTATCACGTGAACTTGATGTTTTGTTAACTGCTGTCATATCGCTGCAGTACGCGTTCCGAAAGTCTCACAGGTTGGCGATTTATGGACAAAGCTTCAGTTTCGGAAGGAACTCGAACGATGATGATAAGCTATGGCATATAAGCCATTAAGAAGTCGAGGGCAAGCGGGGTCTCGGTAGTGTAAGGGATAAGAGCACGGTCCCGGAAAGGACAAGTACGGATTCGAGTCCCGTCCGAGACTGAACGTTTGTCCATAAATCGCCAACCTTGTGAGACTATCATGTGGACCTTTGTATAACTATGGTATTGGTCCTTCATCAGTTATCAGCGATCTAGAAAGTTCGGAAGTCTGGATTTTATGTTTAGATCCAAGTCCATCTTTCACCTGTGTACTCTACGAAAGAGTTTTGTGATCTGGCGTTGCTGTTTCTACCGATTAGAATGAGTACCGACGTGAGACATCTTTTCAGTACTGCTTCATTTTTTGCCACACATTCATAGCGCTTGTTTAGGAACACAAAAAGTATGGAGCCGGGCTGTGGTTTGACACTATGTGGAAGATGTTTGAGGTGGTAGAAATGGGAGATAAGTGGGGAACGGAGCTGCCCAACCTTTTTGCTACGTGAGTCGTGCTTGTAGAGAAGATTAGGTTTACATATCATTCAAAAAAAGCGGGTATGTAGAGAAGCTGTATGGAAGCGAAGAGTCTGAAACTATCAAACTTGTTCTGCTATGAGGGTAACTTATTCACTATTCTCTACTCTCTACTGCACAGTTACGAGCCTTCCGCGGGAACGAGCCGCAAGCGCTGTCTTGAAAGCTTATAATAGCAGCTGTCGCCGACACCCTCTTTATCGCTAAAACGGACTCCTTCTATTGGCTGGCTACAACGATAACACAAATACGGGCTTGAAATGAATGCTGAGACATCACATATGAAAATGGGACGACACAAAAAATTCCGTATTAATGCAGACACGATATTAAGGGTGGTAATTAAGCGAGCTACAATAAAACATTCTCTGGGCCGTATCCACAAAGCGTGCACCGTAGGTTCTTGCAATTTGAACAACAAGATTGTACAATACCAGATTCGCGCAGTAATCTATCAAATTCATTATAATTTTCAGCAACACATCTGCTAGAACAAGATTCATTGTTCATGGTCAACAAACGCTGAAAGAGCCCCATTGATGCCTTACACACTGGTTTTCGAAGCAATAATAACATTTCTCTAGGGGTCTAGGGGGTATGAGAGGACCATTATCCATTATGACTGCTGGACGCTAGAAAAAGTCTCAATCATCTACTACCTATGTTTATGAGCCTCTGCATGTGGTTAGTAAGACCTGAGTGCTGCAGTGGGTCAAAGTGAACGGAATTTTGCTCCGAACGTTTCTCGGCTGAGCGCGTTCCAGGCTGCTTATCTACTGTAGTTCCCAGATGTGCACTTTTGACTAGCTATTGCTCCGCGTTCTCAAGCATTAGTTTGACAGAAAAGAGTTCTTTACTCGTAGTGATGCGGAAGTGGAATCCAACGACTTCTTTCGTCTTAGACTCCTATTTCTTCTGCACAAGGACATCGTTGATTGCTTCAAAAAAATGGAAAGTTTTTTGTTCTCTTCGATGTGGACGATCGTCTTGAGAAAGTCTCAAGGACATTTGGCGTCTTTCTCCCCTTCGATAAACTTTCTTGCCGATCTATTATCATGCGGAAAGGCATACAAGCTGACAGGCCGACAAAATACAATACAACATAAAGATACGTTTCCTATAGATTTTTCAGGCTCGCCTACAATAACCCTGACTTTATGGACTGGTCACCACTCTATGATACAGTTTTTACGCGATCGGTACGAGCTATGGGTTTGAGCATTCGCGAAAGTAAAATTCCGGTGAGTTTGACTTCAAATGACTCAATGAGAGGCAACGTGTATTTGCTCTTTGCATGACAACTTGAATGACACCATGACATGAACAGCGGGCGGTTGTCGATGATGGAATCGACTCGTATTTTAGAACGTTAGCAACTGATTTTAAAAGCTCACCGTTTAACCTATGAGGGATTTGACGCCCTCGTCCTGATATCCACTCGATAATCACGCTTTTTAATTCCATTGTCGTGCCAATCATACCGACATACCGACATACACACAAACCGACAAACCGACACACCAAGTTTCTGCTTTATAAATGAGAGAGATAAGGATTGCAGTTCTTACGCTATTCCAAACCTACCATTGTACATCGCCTGGACAATAGCTCAACAATTAGTCCTTCTTATTTATAAAGCAGTAACTTGGTGTGTCGGTTTGTAGGTTTGTAGGTTTGTCGGTTTGTCGGTTTGTATGTCTGTCCGTCCGAGAAGTATGATTACGATAAAGGTAGTGATACGGAGAACCTAGCTCTATCCTACACTTCCTTCTTTTGGTGAGGCAGTGAATTGGAGTAGGTGAGTGGAGTGCTTGGAGAAGCGAATGCTTCGATATGTGGGTTAATGGGACGAATGCTTAGACATTGTGGCTTCGATCGTTACTGGCATGGTACTATGTTTTCCTATGAAGAATGTGAAATTTGCTTAATCATTCTCTACCCTTCTAATCCTGTCTAATAACCTACAGTGAAATTACCTTCAGCCGTGAGGAGAAAAAGAACCGAACGGTTAACCATTCACTTTGTTTCGAATTTATACAGCACAGAGCGTAAGCGACACCACATATTGTGTTCCATTGGTTCTCTTTCTGCTGAGCTCCCTTTTATGGAGAGAAATA